CCTCGAGGCCGGCGACCGGCTCCTTCCCATGTCCTGTCGACGTTGCTGTTTTGACCTCTCCCATGAATCACAGAGGTCCTTAATGTCATCTAGACTTGGGGGACCCTTTCCAGAGAGTTTCCAATTTACTTTGCCCGGATCCACCAGAGAAATCATGTCTGGGGCAGCTGTGGCCATACAAAATGTATTTCTTAGGTCGTGAGACTTGAAAGTCACAATTAACCGCTTGACCCCTGGCTGCAGAGTGGATGCTGGGTTAGCAGGCATGAGAACAACATTGATCCAGTCCATCTCCCTCGGGGCTTTGGGTGACCGGCGCACTCCCCGTGAGCAACACTCTTCTGGGTCGCTGTGTCCTGGCCGTGGGCCTCAGTGGTGGCTTCAGGTACTCAGTGAGCCGTGCTGTGGGCGGACGTGCTGTCACCCAGGCTTCGTGTCCCCGCGGTCACAGGCGGACTAGACGGAGCACCGTCCCGAGAGCCCCGGGTTTCCAGGGCAGTGAGTGGGCGCTGGCCTCGGGTCGCAGCCGCAGCCGCAGGGGCCCCTCGGGGGGAGCCCGCCTGCCCCGAAGCTCTGCAGCCGGGCCCTGCCGCTCTCCGGCCGGGGACGCCCTAGGTGGCGGCGTCTCCCGGGAGAAGGTAGTTCTGTCTGTGCTGAGAACCTGCTCAGTGGGGCCACCTTCGCGAGTCCGCTGAGCTAGGTCTCTGGACCTCTCCTGTCCCCCCCCCGCCACTGGCACTTGCTGGCGCGGAGACGGCCTCTCTCTCGAGACCCCACGAGCCCGCCTCCGCCGGCTTCAGACTCTCTTCCGCAGCTTCCTCGCCCCTCAGCCCTCACAGGACCGAAGAGAGGGCCTGGCTCGGGCTCAGGCCTCGGTTTCGGGGCGCAAGGTGGCCGGTTTACTCTTCTCTCCCGACCGCCAGCGCGCCCTGCGCAGCAGCAGCAGCAGCAGCAGCAGCAGGAAGGCGGTTTCCCGATCCCGTGCTCCCCGGGGCAGCGCTTCGGTCGGCTGCTCCGTGCCAGCGGCCTGGCTTTCAGCCTCGCAGCCTTGGGCGTGCCTTCCTCGCTCCGCCCCGCCATCATGGCTTCTGATGTGCGTTGAGAAGCGTGGCCTCCCCCCCACTGGAGTCCCCACGGCCGTCGCAGGGTTGGTCGTTTATTCGCTGGTGTGGTGTCTGTGCTGCCGCGTCTCGGAAGACGGAGGCCGGGGACAGGCCGAGAGATGGCGACGGCGGGGCGGGGGGAGCCGTCAGAACACAGCGTTTGTGGAAATGTTCGCCGTCTTCACGGGCCTGGTTAGGGCGCCCCAAAACAGTTGCAGTGGCAACATCAAAGGTCACCGATGCCCATAGCCAATCACAAAAAGGTTTGACATGCGGCAAGAACTACCAAAACGTGGCACAGACCCAAAGCGAGCAGATGCTGCTGGAAAAACTGTGCCCGTGGCCTTGACTGACGTGGGGCTGCCCCAACCCTCCGCGGGCGTGAAAAAATAAAAATAAAAAAGCAGTACCTGCGAAGAGCGGTGAAGTGAGGCCTGCCCGGCCCGACCGACGCCTGCGACTACACGAGGGAACCTCAGGCAGATGTGCTGAGGGAGAGGAGCCGGTCATGGATGCCACGCTGTGCAGGCCCGTGCACTGTCAGCACAGGCCGGTGCGCTGAGCCGTCAACGGGAGACGTGGCTGTGGGGCGGGGCGGGGTGAGTGGGTACAGGGTTCTGCGAGGTGGTGAGCGCGTTCTGAAGCTGATGGCCGTGGTTGCCCAGCCTTGAATAGCGTGCAAGCAGAATTACACGCTTTCACGTGGATGAACGTGGGCCCTGAATCGCATCCCGCTGAGGTTATTCTAAGGCGGCGTAAACCAGTTAAGAACAGGCAGGATCCAGGAGAGAGGGGGACAGGTGGAGTACGTGGGAGGACGTGAGAATGCGAACAAGCAGGAAGATTCGGGTTGCGGGCCAGGACGAAGGGGGCATGCGTGGCTGGGGTTAGGAGGTCACAACGAAACCAGCCAGCGGGGTCGGGGTAGGGAAGCCCCAGCCTCGGTCAGGTGCAGCTTAGGTAGAAGAGTTGCACATAAACACAGCATGGAGGCCTCTGTGGTGGGGAAGGCACCGGGGGTGATGCTGGTAGGCCTGGAGAGAGCTGGCGGGGGCGGGGGGTTCGGAGAGTGGGGTACTCAGAGGAGAGCATGTGGGGGTGACGGGGTTGTTTGCAGTGGAAGGGCCGGGAGGCAGCGGGGGGCAGGGCCACCGGCCGCCTGGCGGGACTGCCTTGCCTTCGTGCACCCTGGCCCAGGCGTCCCCTGCGTCCTCGAGGAGAGCGGCCAGTGGACCGATGGGCCGGGCATTCCCGCAGGGCCCGCTCCAGACCCGCCGTGCCTGCCCCCCGGCTGCACACTGCCTGTCCTCGTCCACGCCCCGCTGCGCCAGCGCGGTCCGCCTCCCCCTCGCACCTGCTGCTGAGCTCCTGCAGCCCTGGGTGCCCTCGCTGGGGCGGCCGAGGCACCACTGCGTTCATCTTTCCTCTGGGACCGCCCTCTCCTGGCTCATCCTAAGAAGTGTGCAGCCACGTCTTGGGTTGCGTTAAACTGCCATGTGTTTCTTAAACTGGATGAACTCTAAATTCAGAAACTTTGGGCTGTCTTTTTCTTGGTTCATCTTAAAATCTTGCTACATCACAGATTTTTTATCTTCTTCGAATGTGCTTCCTCAGGTCTAAACTCTTCCTTTTTAAACCTCCATTCTGGGGACAGGGACTCCTCTCTGGGCTCCAGGCGCGCGCACAGTGATTGTCTCCTCAGCACGTCCCCTCCCGGTGTAACCTGGACCCACCAGGTCTCGGTGTCTCTGCCAAGATTAGCCACTCTGTCCCGAGAAAGAAGGGCTTCTCTTCCTGAAGACCAACATTTGGGACCAAGGGAACATTCTCTAGAAAGTCTGTAAATGTTCTTGGGCCATGAAGGGTTAAGGAAACCCATTCGTTATTTACAAAAGAGGAAGGGGGATCAAGTAAACATCTGCATGTGTAGGGCAGGTGAATTAGGCAGCGCCCTTCTCTGTAAAGCTGCGCGTTGGGGGTGGCGTCAGTGTGCAGAGGGTTCCGTGCCCGCCCTGTGGAGCGGAGCTGCACCCTCGAGCCACGTCAGAACCGGTGGGAGAGACGCTCGAGGGGCGGGCTTCCGTGTCTCAGGGAGAGCCGCTCACTGACCTGGGTGCCGGGCGAGGCGGCCTTGCGTCCTCTGGCCCCCGTTTGTTTTGGGAGGGGGGCTCGTCCCGTGGGAACGAGCAGGGATGGGACCTTCCCACCCCGACCGGGTTTCCTCTCAGACTCACCTGAGCTGCGGCCCTTGTGACGCATGGAGCCCTCCCCACGTCTCCAGGGCTGTGTGAACACTGGCCGCGGCCCCTCGAGCCTGTGGCTACTTGGGTGTGCCGCAGCGACCCCGTGACAGTGGGACGCCGGTCTTCGGTCCCTGGCGGGAAGTGCAGCTCCCTTCGTGAGAGTGACCGTGGTGGTCAGGACTGAAAACTTGTTTGTGCGTCACACGCCCGGCGGCAGGCTGTTGGTCGCCGTCCGAGCGCACGTGCGGCCCAAGGGCCCCGGCACTCGGCGGGGGGCCGGGTCTGGGCCGGGCCGCGGGCTCGCCGCTCCGGGGTTTGCGCCCCTCGATCTCAGCTCGAGGCAGGTGTGATTAGCCCTGTTTCTGAGGTCACGCCTACGTAAGCTTGCACTCACCGAACGGGTTTCTCTCCGGGCGTTTAAAAGAAGGTGTTTTGTTTCACGGAACACCAAGCCTGTGAGAGTTCGTGGGCACAGCGGTGCGAACTGGCCTGCACTCAGCACGCAGCCCACGGTGCCGGGTGCTTCGCACCCACGGAGCGGGGGTCGGGGCAGAGACTGGGTGGAGCTCCTCGTTGGCCACATTTGGTTAACTGTCCACACAGAGGACCTGGGAGCAGGCGGGACTTGCTGAACGTCCGCTTAGAGCAGGCGGGAGGAAGCGATTCAAGACGTAGACAAAACAGCCTGGTGTCGGAGGGGGGGGGTTCGAACACCGCGTGTCAAGTGCTGGGCTCTTGTGGCCGTGAGCACGCACCGCCCTGGGTTCGCTCGTGTCTCGTCGCGTCTGGAGCGTTGTCTGCCAGGGCGACTCCCGGGGGGCGTGCATGGCCTTTGCCTTGCGATGCTCACATTCGCAGAGAAATAGACGGAGAGGTGACCGTGCCTTCCTGGCCCTGAAGCGGCAGACCGAATCGAACGCTGGCCTGGCGGACGGCGCGCGTCTCCTCCAGCTGGAGGAGCACGGCCAGTCCTCGCATGGGGGCTCGGAGCCCGACGAGGCTCTGTCACTTCGGCAGCTCTCACTGGGTCGGTCGCCCGTGGCCCCTCCGCCTCGCCGGAGACGCGGCGTCTGTGCTTTCAGGGCGGGGGCCCGGGGCCTGGAGAGCGCCCTCCGCGTTCGTGCTGGGCCTTTCTCTCGTGGGCCTGTGTGTGGGGCGCTCGCTGCGGGGGCACTGCGGAGGCGTTCTAGTGGCACGGAGCTGGGGGTCCTTGTCACTTGGTTTTCTGGTTGGTGGCGCTGTCTTTTTCTCAGGAAAGGGCAGGACTAAGGCTGAGCGTGTGAGCTTTCCTGGGAGGACACGGGAAGTGGCGTGGCACACTGTGTTTCTCGGGCGCTCCCGGCACTCCGAGGGGCAAAGCGGCCCCTCCTCCCAGAGCCCGGCCGTCACCGTGTGCCCGTGCCCCTGCCTGACCTCCGCGTGGAGGCTGAGGCGGCCAGTGTGCCGATGCCTTACCTCGAACGTGGGCGACAGGCAGTGTGTCGCTGTGTGGTCGCTGGGCCCTCGCCTTGGGTTGGCGGGGATCCTGGCAAGCGGTCCGCAGTTTGAGGAAGGTGGATAAAATGTCATCTTGTTTCAGGCTCCACGGGAGACTTGGAAATACAACACCGTCTTCCGTTACTTTATTTACATTTGGACTCTCGTTGCCTTTCAGGAACGCAAGGAGTCGCCCCCGGCCCCGTCATCGGGCTGCAGGCACCGTCCACCGGGCTGCTGGGGGCCCGGCCCGGCATGATCCCGCTGCAGCGCCCCCCGGGCATGCCGCCGCCGCACCTGCAGCGCTTCCCGCTGATGCCGCCGCGGCCCGTGCCGCCGCACATGATGCACCGGGGCCCGCCGCCCGGGCCGGGGGGCTTCGGGGTGCCCCCGCCCCACGGGATGAAGGGCCCCTTCCCGCCGCACGGCCCCTTCGTCAGGCCTGGCGGGATGCCGGGGCTGGGGGGCCCAGGACCGGGCCCGGGGGGCCCTGACGACAGAGACGGGAGACAGCAGCAGCCCCAGCCCCAGCCCCAGCAGCCGCCACCTCAGTCGCAGCCCCAGCAGCCGCCACCTGCGCAGCAGCAGCCGCCGCCGGCGCAGCAGCCGCAGCCGCAGCCGCAGCCGTTCAGAAACGAGAACAGGCAGCAGTTCAATCCAGGGAGAGACCAAGAAAGGTTTGGACGAAGACCTTTCGGAAATAGGGTGGAGAATGACCGGGACCGCTACGGGAACCGGAGTGACGAGAGGGAGACTAGTGGCCGCGAGCGGCGCGAGTGGGGCCGGAGGAGCCCGGACCGGGACAGACACAGAGACCTGGAAGACCGAAGCAGGCGGTCCGGCGGGCACCGAGACAGGGAGAGGGATTCGAGGGACAGAGAGCCGCGCAGGGAGAAGGAGGACAGCCGGGGCAAGGAGAAGCCCGAGGGGGCCGACCGGGCCGCCGACCCTCCCCTCAGCCAAGCGGGCGCCGCAGAGACAGTCTCCGAACTCGCCCAGGGGGAGTCTGCGGCCACAGCGGCGGCCGCGAAGCCTGCTGCAGAGCTGCCCGCCGAGGCTACCTCGTCCGCCGGCCCCGAGAAGGAGCCGGGCCCGGCCGCGGAGGCTCGCTAGGGGCGGGACCGCCGGCGGGGCGGGGCGGGGCACCAGCGCAGGGGCTGGAGGTGTACAGACGCTGTATCATATTGGCCCCGCTCTTTCTGCCCCACGGTCGTCGTGGGGCCTCGTGAGCAATTTGATTGCTTCCCTTCTATTTAAAAATAGCCACAAAATAACAAAAAATACTGAAAATATGAATAAATATTACCCTTTTTGCTGTAACTTTTTAAAAGTTTTGACTTTAAAAAGTTTACAAATCGTAATTAGAAGTGCTCTCTATTTTTTTTTTTTTTAATTTAAGACATGGTAACAGTGAAAGCTCCTCAAACAATAGGGATGTTTTTAATAAACTCTATTTTCGTAACAAACTCCGGTGTGTGCTCTCCTTTGTGCACGGCCCTGAGGGGGCGCGGCCACCGTCTGCGCTGCGTCGGCGTCCCTGGTGAGGGCCTCCGGGTGGGGACAGACGCGCTCGTGCGGCCTGCAGACACTTGGACTTGCGGTGCTTTCGGTGTTCACTGTTTCAATCACAAGGTAAAAGTGGTTTTAATATTTTGCAGATTAATCGAGGGTTTTTTTTGTTTTGGGTGGTGTGTTCGTTTTCTTGCCGTTGGCTTGGTGGTCAATACCACCCTCACTGATTTGTAAAGAGAAGTTTGCTAGGAGAAACACGGATCTGACGTTGCCCGTTGTACGGTGAACTGCTCAGTTGCCTGGGTATTACTGATTCAGAAGGCTGGGTGTTTTTCTTACCATCCCGTTAAATTTTTCAGGAGGGTGGTAGATACCGAGGTTGACGTTTGCACCCTAGGAGCCTTCTGTCTTACTCTCCGTGTTCAAGGCTGTGTGTGCAGACTTGTTCCCCGTGAGCCCTGCCCAGTGCCTGTCTGGATTGGTCTTGTGGGCGGGAACCCCGCGCGGCCCGTGAGGTGCTCCTCCCTCTGCCTCGGACCGTGGGGTTGGTCGTAGGTCACCCAGGGAGTGTGGCGCGAAGACGTCTGAGGCCCGACCAGCCTCACCCCTGAAGCCCGATCGGCCGATCGCTCGGCCCGAGCACTTGCCGTGGGCCGCGGGCAGGGAATGCCACTACAGCACCCGAAGGCCCGCCGGAGCCTCGCGCTCGCCAGCTCGCGCCCAGCCCAGAGGGTGTGCTGAGCAGCGGCCTCTCCCGCCCTCGCCCGCAGGCGGGGCTGCTGGAGGAGGCACTGTAGTGCTCTGTGGGCGCAACGCTGCTCCTGCTCCGGGCGGTGGGGGGCGGGGGGGGGCAGCCCCGGCACTGACCTCGCTGCCTCTGGGAAGCGCGACCACCCCGCGTCCCATGCCGGCCCACGACGTCGGACAGCCCTGAGCAGCTCTTGTGGAGAAGCGGCGTCTGGTGTCACGTGCGGACTCCAAGGCCCTGCAGCCCGGATCCCTATCCCCGGTTGCAAGTATGGAGAACACCCTGTTCGCTGGCACGCGACAGCCCCCGCAGGTACTGGAAGTGCTTTCACGAGGGTGGGCGTGCCCTTGGGCCTCGAAGGTCACGAGGGAGCCCGAGTGAGTCTTCCCTGGCACGTGGGAGACCGCACTTGGGGAGACCTTGTCCCCTTCTCCGCCTGACTGCAGTTTTCCCACTTAAACGTGAGCCCGCCTCCACTGCCTCTGTGAAAACACCGCAGACCGGCTTTTTCTAGACCAGCTTCTCCTCCGACGTGATCCGCATTCGACCAGACACATCGTGTGGTTTTGACCCATCAGAACTACACCTCGTTCCTGGCTTTGCAACCAGGAATATTTTACAATGTTCAACTAAGAGACAACCACCCCACATGGTTGAACCTGCGTGGGGTTCAGGATTCGTCCACGCGTGTTCATCACATGTGCACGGGTGCTTCCGGGAGCAGCAGACCGGGCAGCCGGTTCCTCCGTCCGGAGCCCTGCCCCTTCCTCTCGGGGGCGCCTCCTCCTCTCCTCTCGTGGCCACAGCACGGCGTGGGCCATTCTGGCTGGTTGGTGAGCTCCCCGTCAGCCCTGCAAGGCCGTCCCCAAGCAGGCCAGCTTCCCTGCCACCCAAGGGCTTCCCAACATCCAGCTTTGAAATACCCATCCTTTTGGGTCTGGCTACCTGGTAAGTGGGGAGGCCCCGTACCTCCCCCGGAGCTGACAGAGGGCAGCCTCCCTGCCCAAGGCGAAGTTCAAGTCCATCTCGGCTCAAAGACCAGTGGCGGAAAATGCAAGCAGTGCGATTATGCATTTTAAATACTTTCAGAAGAGCAGTCTCTGAAATGACCCGTCAGCGTGGCACTTAACCGGCCCCACTCAAGCCCCGCGAGCAAGTGACGGCTGTGGGCGTTCAGGAGTCCGGCTCGGACGCCTTGACGGGCGTGAGAGGCAGCACCACGTCGGGTCTTCACTTACCGCGGGCTCGGACGAGAGCCAGAGCGAGTCAGACAGCTCAGTGCCCGTGTGTGAGAGACCCCCGAAACAGACATTTTAACTGAATGAGATGCATGCAATTACACAAATCTTCCAGCTGGTCACGGGTCAGCTCTCATCACAGGTACTGCAGCCACTTTTTAAAAAAGACACACATACACTTGGAAGGTGACAGAGTTTAATGGTCGTCAGGTTGAGTGTGTGCAGCTGGTGGGGCAGCAGAGGGGCTGCCAGGACACGGCCTGGTGGGGAACGCTCACTTCTCAGTCTTGGGCTGCGGTGCAATCCCGATCACGCCGCAGGCCAGGCGGCTGCCAGCGTTGCCTGTCTTCTTGCTCTCCTCGTCGTTGCCTTTGCCCAGGTCGTCCTCCTTCTCGTGGACCTGTGGGGACATCGGGAACACAGAGCTGAGGGGCCGTCCTCCCGCCCCCACCCACAGGTACCTCACGTTAGGAAGCAGCCCGTTCAGAGAAGCCTACCAGAGAGGCAGACCGCTCCTCAGCCCGGCAGGAGGGGAAACCACCCCTCAGCTTTGTCCTGGTGACGCAGAGATGTAAACCACCTTTAAACACTAAGTGGGTGCCCTCTCTCTGAAGGAGCACTGACACCCACCCCGCCCTGTCTCAGGCCGCCCGGCGCCGGGCCCCACCCTCCGGGAGAAAGCCAGGCGACCACCCTTCTCTCACGGAGCATTGCTGCGAGAAGGAAAGGGGCCCCTGGAAAACGGCATCACGATTGTGCCTCGTGACTACAGCCTATGAACGAGTAATCCTCAAAGGATCCTGAACTACTTAAAAATAGGGCTTTAATTTTTTCTCATGAAACATTTACAAGTTTCCCTGCTTCTCAGCTGTGGCTGAAGAAAGCTCTCAGGATAAGGGCCAGCCGAGAGAGGAGAGAGCGGAAGGCCAGTGGTGGCGACCAGGCAGCAGCGCATGCTCACACCGGCCCATCCAAGACCTCAACGGGACGGGTGCTCTGCTGAGCTACGAGGGGACCCCATCGCCGCCGGGAGAGCTGGCGGTCTGGACACCAGGCAAGGGCGACGTCGCCCATCCCGATCGGCTGCGTTACTGCGTCTCAGCAGAGCGGGGTCTTCACCGACCCGGGTCTCCGATTCCTCCTCACGGCAACCGTCCGGCACAGCCGCTGCTTTCTCTAACTCTGGGCGACAGGCACAGTGTGCGTGGCCCCTCGGAAACCAGGACCGAGCATCGGGAGCAGGTGCGCGACTGTGTGGGGACCTGCAGACTCACCACCATCGTGCGGCCAATGATGGAATGCTTCCCCGAGAGGGAGATCTGGCGGTCCACCAGAGACACGTTGGCCACCCCGTGTTTGTCCGCAGTCACGTTGCCCAGGTCCCCGACGTGCCTGGTGTTGACAAAGCATCGGAACAGCGCGTTAACTCAAGTAAAAACCGTCGGACCTAGCGCGGGCAGGGACACAGCACGGACCATGCAGGGACCGCCCTTCCAGGCTGACAGGTGATCAGACAGTGCAGACGCGGCTCCTCGAACACGGCTCCCGGGCTGTGGGCGGTGCCCGGAGGAGTCGAGGCTCAGGGCCACCTCTGACCGTGCGGGGGCGGGGGGACACCACCTGGGCCCCGCCTGCCTGCCTGGCACGGGGGGGCGGGCCCTAGGCCTCCACGAGGGAAACAAAGGGCGCCCTTGTCCTCGGGCTTGTCCTACCCCCAGAAGGCTCTCAGAAAACAGACACGCAGATGGGGTCTCAGGGCACAGACTTTCACCCACAAAGCCCCCCGAGGGTCTGACGCGGGTTTGTCTTGTCGGGCAATGACAGCACGGCTCCTCGCCTCCTGTACCGGCCCCCTCTGGTGCGGGCACGGGAGCGTTCTGTCTTCAGCGAATGCTGCCAGACCAGCCGCTCTCGGCCAGCGCCCCCGTCCGCGCGTGTCCCTCCACGTGGCAGAGGGTCACGGGGGCGACGCCGCTGGGTTGAGCGTGCCATCTGAGAACGGCACACCCTCGCTGACCCGGAAAAGCCCCTGCCTTGTTTCTGATGGGAGGTAAGTGTCCATCACTCACCTCTCTTCATCGTCGGGGCCACCGTGGTTTTTGCCTTCAGGGTTAAAGTGAGGACCTGCAGTGGCACAGCCTGTGGACAAAAAAAAAAAAAAAAAAGGAGCTGGGTTATGAATCAAAATTCCAAAATGCACTCCAAGAAGAAGCTGGCTGTGGCTAGAACCTCCTCCAGAGACAGTGGGGACCTGCGGCACAGGAGGGGCAGGAAGGAGAGACAGGGCCTAGGAGCCCCGTGGTGCCGGTCAAGTTCACACCCTTCTCGGGGCTTGGATTTCTCCGAGGCCCTGGACGTGATCTTCAACAGTTCCCTTCCACCCCCAAAATCCCGCGGTAAGAGTCCTGGCTTGTGCGGAGGTAGAAAAACCCTTTGCCACAAAAACTTAGCTCCCCAGCCACACGCTACAGGCGGCCCCTGCCTGCGGCCCCTGCCTGTGTGCGCAGAACATAACACGGCGGGGTGCCCAGTCCCGGGGCCGGGCTGCCGCCCTGCACGACCCGGCAGCACGCAGACTGCAGTCTGTTAGCAGCTGTCCCTGGGCCGCAGCGACTGCCCTCCACCCCGAGCCCACCACAGGGACGCGGGAATTCGCCCTCCCCCACAGACGGACAGTCTCCGCTGTGCGCCCCTCCGCTCCCCTGCCACCCACCGGGAGAAGACAGGTCCCCAGGGCACTGCCTAGTAAGTCAAGGCCACAGCGCAGGGGCCTCTGAGCGCAGGGGCAGGAAAACCAAGGAGCAAGCTGGATGGAGCAGCTCTGTGATCGCCGAGGTGGGTCCCATCTGGCCATTGCGTCCCTATTTACGGGGCTCAGATTATGGACCATTCAAACCAACTTCCGTCAAATTGAGCCAGTCCTCAGTCTGCCTGCGCACTGAGGTCAGGTTACTCAAAAATGGCGGGAGGTCACCAAACCCATCCCCCTGTAAACTTTGTTCAGTGGAGCCCCCTGCACAGCACCCCGCCGTCTCCCTGCTGCCTCCCCAGGACCCAGTGCTGGAGGCGGGGACCGGAGAGGCCGGCTCCGCCGCTCACAAAGCTGGAGGCAAGCAGGTGGCAAGAAAGCAGCGGAACTGTTTTCCTTTAAAAACACCTGCAATCTGTATAATCAAGCCACAATCACATTTAAAAAAAAAAAATTCCTTCCCCTTCCTTTCCACACGCAGGCGTCAAAAGTAGTCGTGAGGCCAGCTCCACGAGGCTGTTCCTCACGGCGGCTGCTCGCCCTTGTCTCGCCAGGGCGAGGAGGTCTGGGTCCCAGCCCCGCACGGCACCCACCTCCGGTGTTGTCTCCAAACTGGTGGACGTGGAACCCATGATCGCCTTCGGTCAGTCCTTTGATGATCCCGCTGACTGTGACGGGGCCGCTGCCCTGCACCAGAGAGCACAGCGGGTCTGAGGGAGCCTCCAAAGGAAGGACGCGGGTGAGCCACCCCCACCACGAACAGGAAGGGGAAAGAACGTGGCCTCGAGAGTCAGACACCCCCGGGCAGTCGCCTCCTGGCAGGACACCCCAGCCGAGGGAGATGCGGCCCCAACCAACCACCAACCAGTGTCCAGCTGGCCAGCCTAGGGTGCCTCGTCCCCACTGTCCCCGGGGGGATGCTGATCAGGTGCCAGCGCACACTGGGACCAGGGGCAGCACGGGCGGCACAGGGCTCTGCACCCCTCAGGGCTCCCCCGGGAGGATCCCGGCCCAGGCACCAAGGCCCGGGCACCGAGGCTCCTGCAGCCAGCAGGGCTGCAGAGGGGCGTGTTTCTGAGGGCGCAGCCACTGAAACCCAATCGCCTCTCTGCCCCAAGTACGGAGGCCAAAACAAAGAAGGGTGACACCACAGCGAGGCCGGTGAGGATGACCCACCACGGCCGCACACCCAGGACCTCCGCGGGGCAGCGAGGCAGAAACCCTGACGGCTGAACCCACACTTGAGATCTGCACCGCCCGGCAAACGCAGGGACCTGCCGTCCCCCAGGATCCCGGGCTGACCTCCCACTGGGCAGACGCGATGCTCAGACCAAGTGGCATGGTGACGGCTGCCCTTGGTTGTGCTTTTTTTGTGGTAAAAACAGAGTACTGTGATTCTTCCGGGGGTGACCCTCAACTTCGGAAAAATTCAAACGCGTTACCCCACAAAACACATTATCGAAAAGCACGGAGACAGACAGCGGTTCTCCTGAGCCCGCATTTCCTGGGTGGTGAGCGCGGGAGCACCCAGAGGTTGGGGGCGGCCCCCTCGCACAGCCCTGCGGGGGCCGTCCTGTCAGTGGGGCAAACCCCTGGGCAGCACAGTGCGGCCCTGGCCCACGGAGGCTCCGTGTGGGCAGATCTCCAAACGCTTGGAGAGCAGCTAGGGGTTTGGACTTACAGGTGAAAATTTTCATTTTAAAAACCTGGGAAATGGTCCAAAATTTCAAGCACACAACAGACCAATCAAATAGCGCTTACTGGCGATTAAACGCATGCGCCTACCTGAAAAGCTGTCCTGCCCAACTGTCCAAAGGTCTTTATCAGGAACAAACAGCACCCCCACTCCCAACCCACCCCCACCCCCAACAAACGAAGCTGGGAACTGCAGGGAGGGAGCCCCGAAGGCTGCTCCCGAGGTGGGGCCTAGCTGCCTCCCAGGGGGGAGGAGGAGGGTCACAGAGAGGTCGGGCCAGTGAAAGAAAACGGCAAAATTCAGTCAAATGCCAAGGAGCCTTTTCCAGAAGCGTTGGAAACCACGGCAAGGAAAAGAATCCGGCTGCACCCGGATCCCCCTGTGTGAACACTTCCCTGCCCCCTCCCACTTCCGGAGACCTCCCCAACACTTGTCTCGCTCCCGCTCCCGTGTAAGTTATCCATCCGTAGGTGATAAGCCCAGCACAACGGGAACAGCTTCCACCGGCCGGCAGCCGCACGGAGACCTGGGGACACTCCTTTCGCCAGGCGGCTGCGCATCGCGTCGACCCGCAGTGAGCGTCCGCACACTTCGCATCACAGGACTGGGCCGAACGCGCTTCTGCCGTCTCCGTAATAGGCCTGCTGGTTGAGGGGCTTCACCGCCACTTTACCGAGGACGGGCTGAAACACGCTGCCAGGTCCGAGCGCCAGCTCCGCGCGTGGACACCGGGGCTCCCCGCCCCAGCCCGCATCCCCCACCAGCACGAAGGACCCGTTGCGGCCCCAGGCCGCTGCGACGCGGACACAGGCCGGACCCCGCCGGTCAGCATCCAGCCCCCGCGGGCAGTGCCCCAGGGAGGAAGCCCGCCGGGGAGTCCGTCGGAGGGGGGCTTCGGGGAGGAGTTTGTGCAGAGCGCCTTGCTGCCCTAGCACCTGGCCGTGACCCCGAGCAGCGGTCAGCGAGCTTCTCTGTAAGCCCACGCGCACTGTCGCAGGTTCTTATTTTCACGACCCTTCTTTCCACACAAATTCACCAAAGCGCCCTCTGCCGCAGGGCTGTGCCCACAGCGGTCCCGGGAGGATGGGGCCGGGGGCCGCGGTCTGCAGACCCCCAAACTAACGAGACATTTTAGGTTGCAAAGGAGCCCCAGACCGGCCAAGGGGGACACGGCTCTCTGCCGGCGGACCTGCTGCGCAATAGCCAGGCCAGGCGCACAGGACGCACAGGCGGCCCGGGAGGGAACGCCACGGCCGCGCAACCAGGCCCGCGCCCCGCCGCGGAGGCGGCGCCGGGCGGCAGCCTCCTCCCTCCCGCCCTCGCATGCTCCCCGGCCCACGGTCCGCCCCGGCCCAGCCCGTGCCGCCGGCCACAGCCGTCGGTGACTCAGCACCGCAGCCTCGCGGGCGGTCAATGGCCCCCAGGCCTTGCCTCCTGCTCGAAGCGGATCTCGCCATGCACCCGGCCCTCGCCCTTCAGCACGCACACAGCCCAGGTCTTGGTCTCGGTCGTCATGGCTTGCGGAACGCGCGCAGACCGGGTCCCGAAGATCCGGTAGACGCCGCAGGACACGCCGACGCAGGGGCGACGGCGCCGCGGACCTCTTATAGGCCGGATCCCGCGCCCCGCCCCACCCTGGCGCCCTTGGACCGCGACCAATTGAGCGCTGAGCTCGCCCTAGCACAGCGGCCTAGGGACGCGATTGGCCGGGAATGGCGGGGGCGGGGCCTAGGGCACGTAGGAGCCCCGCCTCCCGCGCCCGCGACTTCCTGTGCAGCGCGCGCGAGCTGGCTCCCAGGACCGGCTCCTCTTCCCCCTCGCAGCGGCTGCAGCCCGCGGGTCGCAGCCCCGAGGCCGGCGCGCCCGCGAGATCGGACGGAAGTCACTTGGGCTGGAGATGTCATCCATTGTAACTGGGTCCTAAACGTGTTTGGTAGAAATGGGGACGCGTGCAGCTGGGAGATTTTGTAGTTTCCTTGTTTCCATTGTCTTCTTGTTCGGGGTTTCTGGGAGCGTAGAGGCAACACACCTCCGCCCCTGGCCTCGTCGGGCCGGGGGCCGGGTTCGGTCCCGAGCGCGCGGCGCTCCTGATTTGGGCGCCGGGGCTCTGTCTTTCCACATTTCCTCTCTCGCACAAGAAAGGCCACAACCGTGAACCTACCCCAAGTCAAGTTACCGCACCGACCTCTGCACGTGGCCCTGTTTCCTCCCACTCTACGGCCGCGACAGGGCAGGGCTGGAGGCCGCACGATTCGTGTCGCCCCGGAGGAAGAGCGGGGAGAGACGAAATGGGGCCACGTTAGCCACGCTGCGCACTTGCTCGGGTCCTCTAGGGCGAGGCCGGAGGATCGGATTCCCCTGTGCTTCTAGCCAGGCTGGGAACTGGACCTGCCGGCCTTCGCAGCCCCGCCCCACGCGGGGTGCGCGGCACACCCCCAGGCGAGCCTCCGGTCCGCCCTGCAGGACAAGGAAAGCTGCCCGCGTGTCCAGACCACGGTCATCTGGAGCAGCAGTGTGCGCCTTTTCCATCTCACGGCACACACGAACTATATAGGAAGACTCTGTGGCACACCAGAAAAAAAATTTTTTTGCCGGTCTGGCAAAAAATAGGTATAATTTTTTACATTTTTATTCATTGACTTGAGAGAAAGAAACATCGATTTGTTGTTCCACTTATGGGTGCATCCATGGTTGATTCTCACGTGTGCCCCGGCCAGGGACTGAACCTGCAGCCTTCCCGTGTGTGGCCGGCGCTCTAACCAAGTGAGCCACCTGGGCAGGGCGAAAATGGCATAATTCTGACTCGTGCACACCGGACAGCTATTGTGTTGGCTGCTGTCACTTTTTAATTTGACAATGTAAGGGAAAAGAGGCCGGGCCCCTGGCTAAATAGTCCAGTTCTGCATGTTTTAAAAATTCTTGTGGCGCACCGTCTCGGACAAGCCCAGGCGCTAAGGAGGCCAGGCCGAGTCTCCAGACGAACTTTTCACTGCGAGGACCCTCCTTCAGAGCTCTGGGTATCGCCTCGTGTTTTTCCTTTGCAAACCCTAACCCCCCCCCCCAAAAAAAAAATCTTTATCATGTGTTTCTCGCCAAAGCCTCCTGATTCCATTTATGCTCAGCTGACACCCCCGCATGCCACCAGACGGGGACTGTGCCCACCGGCAGTGCGAGCTCTCGGCTTCTTAGGGGCGGATCTCACAACCCGAGTCCAGATGATTTTGAGAGTGTGTTCGTGAAAGCTGGGGACAGTGGGACAAAGGAAGGGCGGAAGGTAGAAGCAGCAGCAGGAGAGAGAACGGGGAGGGGGGCCTAGAAGACGGGTGGGGGCGGGGCGGGGGTGGGAGCCAGGGCGCCAGCTGCCGCTGCCCACTGCTCCCTGGTTGCAAGCCCCCGGACCCCGCCCCCCGCCCCCCCCCCCCCCCCCCCCGCCGCTCTGTACAGGAAGAAGAGACGCTAGGCCTGGTTGGGCTCTCGGGAGGGAGCGCCCTGGGTCTTTGCCTTCAGGCTTTCTGTCTTTCTGTGGCCTGGTGGAGTCTGGGGGAGGCCTCGGGGGAGGGTCTCCACAGAATAGCCATCAGCTTTCCAGGTGTGCCCTGCAACATCTCAACTCATCAAAACGTGTGCCTGGAAGGGTCAGGGCGCTTCTGTGGTCGGCCGCACCGGCGCAGAAGGTCACTGAAGAGGGACGGGCCGAGGCCGGGCCGGCTGGCGTGTGGGGCCCACGGGCTGCGCCATGTCCTTGGGGAGGGAACGGAAGACCCTGTGATCCCTTAGCCGCCCGCGACTCGTTCCGATTGCTCGGCCTTCTTTGAGTGTTTTGTCTCAGAGTCTCTCCCTCCACTGGCCCAGGAGTCCCCGCAGCGCCCCACTCTCCCGCCCCCCTCACGTGCGTGCGCCAGCGTGCTCCTCCCCCCTGCGGGAAGACGTTCCGAACACGTGCTGTGCGATGAGCAAACACTCCGAACGAGTCTTGTGGGGTTTGGAAACAGGCGGCCGTACGCCGTGTGCTCAGAAGTCTCCAGGAAGACGCACAGTGCGCTGTGGGCACCTGTGGGGGCGGGCATCAAGCTCTAACTAACGCGCTTCCCTTGGAACTTTTCACAGTGGCACGCACTTCTCTCTGAAACGTGGCTTAGAAGGAGAGCTCCCCCCACACGCACGCCTCTGTGGGAAGGACCGTCTGATAAACTGTGGAGGGGGCGGGCGGGGAGGGGAGTCTTCACCTCCGTCCCCACCGGCGGCGCCTGACCACCGGGGCGGCCCGCCGGCCTGCTCCCGGCAGTGGGGCCACGGGGGCCTGGAAGCCGCGCTGGACTCACGGGGAGGGCCCGGCGGCGCAGGCGCTGTGGTCCCGGCTGGAGGGGGGGGCGCGGAGGTCCGGGTGGGAGCCCAGGACCTGCGTCCCTCGCTTGTTTCCCGGGCGCCCCGACCCTGCTGCGCTGGGGCCGCACTCGGCCCTCTGGCTGGCTGGCGTTTCTCGGGCCCGGCCACACGGCAAGTCGGGGCGGGAGCGGCAGCTGCTTGACTCAAAAGAGGGTCAGGGGAACGTGGAGACGGGGACGCTGTGTGTGTGCGGCCCGGTGCTCCCCCGGGTGGGGTTTCAGCCCCCCCGTCGCTGGGACCCCCTTCAAACAGCCCGCCTTTCCCTCCAAGGCGCTGGGTAGCCAGGGCTGAGTTAGGAGGCTGGCCAAACACCGAGGCCTGACTCAGGGCCAGCGTGAGACCAGGCCAGAGCTGTGTGTGTGTGTGTCTGTCTGTGTGTCTGTGTGTCTGGGCCCCTGGGCTCCGAGGCCTGCTCCGTCACAGACGCACAGCCCCACACTCTCTCGCCCTGCGGAGGAGGCACCTGTGTGGGCCAGGGCCCGCCCTGCCTCCGTCTCTGGGCTCCCCAGCCAGCCCGGCACAGGTGCCAGCTCGGCACAGGGCCTCTGCCCAAGGCCAAAGTCTCTTCGGGTTTCAGGAAGCAGAGTCAGGTTTCAGGTCCCCGGGGCAAACTTGCCGAGCCGGCAGCCCACAGACAAGGGTGGGCCTGAGCCCCGGCCATGTGGGCTGGTGGGTGGGAGCGTCTTCCGGGCACCACAAGGTTGCGGTCCCTTCCCAGCCAGGGTGCTGATGGGAGGCAGCCGATCACATTTCTCCCCCCCCACACTTCCTCTCTGACAGTCCCCGAACATGCCCTCGGGTGCTGGTTCAAACTGGAGTCGCTCCCCTTCAACACATGCAGCCTGGAGAGCCCCTCCTTGGGGCCAAGGACGGGCTGGCGCCCTGCAGGGTCACAGGGGCCCTGAGGTCTGTCCTGGGGCGGCCCTCACACCCGGGCCCCGCCTGCGGAGGGCCCCGCTCCCCGAGGGGGGAGGACTATGCAGAGCTGAGGAGGGGCTCCCACGCGGGACCCCACCTGCCCTCGCAGAGCAGGCTTGGTGACACGTGGGGGCCAGGGCCACCCCCTAACGCTGACCAGCCCAGGGAGGCCCCGCAGGGCGTCCCTGAACACCTGAGAACAGAGGGTCGCCGCCCAGGGCGGCCCGGACACAGGAGTCCCTGACTGCAGCGGGTCGTGGCAGGGGGTCACACACGAGGCCGGTGGCCTCCTTGACCAGTGTCAGCCTCTGCTGTCCCTGAGCCTGCCTGCCGTCTCCTAGCACCTCAGACAACACCCCTCAGACAGGTCACAGGGGTGCCCCTTCCCAGACCCCTGGGGGCTCGGCCTCCACCTGAGCAGGAGGCCCTGGGGCCCCCCCGGGCATCTGGTTCCCCAGCAGCACCCCAGGCGCTGCCTCGGGGACGTGTGAACGACCCTGCCCCACCCGAGGGAGGGAAGCGGGTGTCTCTCCGTTTTATTCTTCATCGTCTCGGAGACTCCTCCCTGCTTTGCTCTCCCCGCCCCCTTCGTCTGCCGCCCACGGGTCCCTGTGCCCCCCCCTCCTCCCCTCCCCCTCCCCTCCCCTCCCCTCCCTCCCCCTCCCTCCCCCTCCCCCCCCCTCCCCTCCCCTCCCCTCCCCCTCCCCCTCCCGTGCGTGTGGGGTGCACTGCGTGCTCAGAACTGTGCCCTCAACCCGTTGAGGTTTCACTTCCCGGCGCGTCCCCACAGTTTGGCTCAAGTAAACTCTTACAGGAGTTTTCTTCCGCGGACAGAATGTAGTCCTCTCGCGGACCCCGAACCCTGCTGTTCTGCCCACCCCTCCCCCCGCCTCTGGCGACTGCCACTGTGTGCTCTCGTGTTTCGGTTCCACGCAGCAGGGAGGTCACGCGATGTCCGTCCCTGTCTGGCTCATTTCCCTTAGCACAGTGCCCCCGGGTCCAGCCGTGTGCCCGCAGCTGGAAAGATTACCTTCTTCTGGGGGGTGCAGTCATATTCCACACATACGCATGTGTGTTCTGGATTCCACGTTTTCTGTATCTGTCATCTGTCGGCTTACGCTGCTTCTGTAACAGGGTGCAGCCAAGAGGGGGGACCCCAAATGGGCATTTGAAATGAGGTCCAGAACCCAAGGTGTCCAGATTTTAGGATGTCCTCACCACCCCCACCCCAGGTGTGGGTTGGGGGAAGGGACACATGGAGCAGGGCCATCGAGAGCTGTTCCGCAT